TTCCCCGCCCCTGTTGGTTGTAGGAATGCTCTATTGTTACGGCGCCCTTACCCCCGGACCCCCACTGGGGTCATTTTAGAGCGAGTGAGGGGCTTTTGTTTTGGCTTTTTTTAAAAAATGCCGCCGTTCGGTGGGCGTTCTATGCGACGACTCGATGCTGGGGCGATGCTACGGCGATTTTTGGATCTTATACGCTCCCCTGGGCTTCTAATTTTTTTTGGGACCCCTTGAAAACGCGTCCTGGTGCAAAGGGGGTTTAAACTCGTCACCAGGGGGGCCCTAAATTTTTCTATGACGCGTACACCCCTCTAGTGTGACAGGGGTTTAACAAATACCTTGATATTCTTTTTAGAATGGCTATTCAAATATGTTTGTTTTTCATATATATATATATATATATATATATATATAATGGGTGGCTGATTTGTGCCATTCATGTTTTCGCCCGCGATCCCACCAAGCTAAAAGTCGAGAATTAACTAGTTGAAACGGCGGGGTCGCGAGACGAAAACTCGCTTAATAACGGGGCGTGGAACGAGATTTAAGAAATAATACGGCGGGGGCGTAAAGCGAAAGCACGCTAACTAGCGCTCCCGCTATGTAGCGTGTTTTTGTCCCGCGACCCCACCGTTCCATTTCTTAAATCTTGCTCCTCGCCCCCGCGGGACGAAGTTTTATTTATTAGATTTCGCCCCGCGCCCATGCCATTTTAACTTGTTAATTTATGACTTCTCGTTTCGCGGGGTTGCGGGGCGAAAACAAAAATCACCACAATGTATACATGTTTAGACGATACTTTAAAAATTTATAAATAAATCGCACGACAATTATGGAACAGTTTGGCTTAAAATTCCCTGTTTGTGGACGATCACTATGTCATTTATATGGCAAGTATCATATTTGAAATCTTTAGTGACATTATGCTCATATTTCCATGTTTCTTTACTATTAGTAACGACTATCAACACGTTTAAGTTTTTTTTACGCTACTTTTTTCATATTTTATTGTTTGTTTTATGTCCCAGTTGTTTAAAGCTCTGGACCGTTTAACTGAAATTCGATTTGTATCCTGGAACTATCTATATCCTTTTATGTTATCAGGTGGATAAAAATATCTATCTCCAGTCATTACGTCACATGGTTAGCCTATTAAGATGTCACATGCTTAGCAGCAAAACAAAAATACCATTTGATGCTGAATACACGGTTGTTGTCGGGATTGAGAAGGTTTTATCGAGAGAAATAAAACAAAATCCCTAGAGAACGCACAAAACGACAAAATTGAAATTACTGCAGGCTCTGGTTCATTAGCCCGTTCATGGACGGTAGGCCTAATGTAAACGGCAAGTTACCTGTCCACGACCCCTAGAACCAAGAACCTTTTATGCAAATTCAGTGAGTTAAAAGGTTCAATTGTGGTTTCTGAAACAACAAAAAATGATCGTGTCGATGGTGAAGAGGTCATTATATTGAAATTGTACATTACACTGGAATTAATGTGTATGGTTGTCTCTATTTATGGATAAGTTGCCTATATGGTAGTATATTTAGATAAACCTTCCATGTGAATAAATTGTATATCTGATTAAAAAAATTATCATGTAAGTGATATATTATGGGTTATGTTTTTGAATGTTGATTAAAATGCTGATCAAATATCTGATCAAACAATTGTGCAAGTTAAACATTTTAATGGCACAAAAACGATTTAAAAGAGGGACGAGAAACAAATATTTGTAGTTGAATATTGTCTTGTGTTTGGTCACCTGATTTGTAACATGGCTTTAAAAGTACACTAACTGATTGCAACCAATAGTTTACTTCTAGCTTGGGTACAGTGCAGTTATGGCAAATATCGTAGGACTTGTAGGTATTGGGGTATCTGGAGTGGCCCTACTTTTTGCCATTGTTGCATTGGCGTCCGACAAATGGGAAACCATTACAGTTAAGGGTTTAACAAGTGAATTTAAGGTAGGATTATGGGAAATGTGCACCACGGATGGTGGAACAACGACCTGTGTTGATTTTGAAGATGTTGATAATTCAATTGGTATGAGCAAATGATTTTTTTTCTTTTTATATCGTTTAAAGTGATTTGGTTCTTAAGGGAAGACCTTTATTGCCATATATAATAATAATGTTGAAAATATTAAGTTGCAAACCACTTATTAAAAAAAACAATTATACAAGTATACAAGGATGTGGCTAGTAAGTGTGAGATACTCTTGATCTGTGTGACAAATTTATATATGGCAGATGATAAATTGTTCTAGAACTAAATAAGAGAATATTTTTTTACTTATTCATTTACAATGATACATTCATGTTATGTTTTCCCTCGTTTAGGAAAATGTGCTCATTGTAGACCAATCCACTTTAAGATGTGTCTGTATGTTAATTTAACACAATGGTTTTCTAACGGTTTAAGGACGTTGGCTACCTATACATATAAAGTATATGTGTATAAAGCTATATGTTTTACAGAATTAATTATATATATATTTCTTTTGTCTTTCATAGAGTTGTTTTGATTTTTTTTTTTCAAAATTTAAACAAAAATTCTGTAAGCTACAGTAAATTTATCCTTAAAAACGAATATGGCCTGCTTAAAACAAAACAATTCCGAAAATATTTGCATGGTATTTTGTTCGATAACATTTCATTCTAATTAAGTAAACTACTGATGTGTTAAATAATATGTTTTAACTCCACAGAGGGGGATCAACCATAACATTATGGAAACAACATAAGTTATAGTTGTATACCTTTTAAAAATTTACATGATCTTAGGATACGATACAAGAAACATTTTTAACATGTAAAACGCGGGGTCGATGGTTTAGTTCGTTTAGCTATCGGCCCTTTATTAAAAGTTCTTTCTTATTTTGGACATTACATAGGCAAACCATTTTGTTTTTTAAACAATCTCTAAGTTTGGCTTTATTCAATTTATTTTACTTTTTTTGGTAATGATAATTTTTTATGATTTTCCATTACTTTCTTCTTTAAATAAAGTTTTTAAATACATAATATTCTAAAGAAATATTACTCAGGTTAAGTTTGCTTTTAAAGGGAAAGTTTAAGTTATCACGTTGACTTTGGGCTATAACATTATGACTTTTCCGTATTGAGATGAACATCGAGTTATGACAGTGACTAGTTTGAAGTTGTTGAACATTTAATCAGATTATAAGATGAAATATACAACAGTGACTAAAATGTAACTGGGGAAAAATAAAAATATAATTTATACACCTAGCAGTCGTTTTTGAGACATGATGCGTTCTGCCCATTTTCGGAACGTGTTAAACGTTTAACCCAAGTCTCAAGAAAATTCTTTAAAGAGTATATGAGAAATGGCGAAGACATAAAAATGAATGTTCAGTTATTTGCTCTTCAAATGAGACATTGATCTTAATCAGTCAAAACTTTACATTTCAACATGGTGAACATAGTTTAATATAAATTCTTATACGGCATTTTTCAAATGGTTTGAATGGTTAATTACAGTCAAGGAGAAGCATAAAACCTCTGCAGATGGATGCAAGGCAATGATATTTCTGGCTATTTTCACGACAACAGGGGCTATCGTGAGTGCAGTGCTTGTGATGTTTGTTATGAAGGAGCAACAGATCTTGTTCTTTGCAGCTGGAGGTCTGAATCTCGCGTCTGGTGAGTATTTAAATAATATTCTATTTTAAAGTACAAATTGATACAGCAAATGTTTAAAAACATCGGATTTAAGATAGGTTCAAGATGTAATATACCCCAATCATAATGCGTCATAAAATATCAAGGGGCAGGACGTGAAGGGGTTGCTCACTTGGTTCAAGCTAGATATTGGCTGCAAAATTGACAAAATGTCATGAATATTCACAACACTCGCTCGAATTTTCTTCAGGTAAGTCTGTTTGTATGCTATTTTAAAAATCTTTAATATGCCCATTACTTAAGGAAATGTTAATGGCACACCTGGTGTAAGGTATAGGCTTTCTAGCTTCTGATTTGACGAAGTTATTGGTCGTGTACATATTTTGAGATTTGACAAGTGACAATCATTGACAGTAATATATTTTGTCTTTTTTTGGTAAACTTCAAAACTGAAAAGTGTGAATAAATGAGTAGAAAATTCGACCAGAATTGTCACTTGTCTAATCGTAAAATATGCACATAAAATTGTTTTAATAGAAAGCTGAAATTCAAAAATGTTGCCTTAAGGAAAGGGCATGTAAAAGAGTTTTAAAATAATAAAAAAAAACACTTACCCTTAGAAAATACGTGCCGTTGTTGTAAATATTAATGACATGATAGCCATTTATCAAGTTTGCAAGTTTTTGCGCTTGAACCAAGTGTGCAACCACTTCATGTACTGCCCCTTGAAATACATATATAAAGTTCAAAAAGGGAATACATTGTTCATGAGACGTAGTCCCAATAACGTCCAGCCAAACAAACAACAATACTATACCACTCACCAACCATGGATGGTAAACACTTAGAGGGACATTCAATGATTAATATGGGCAGTGTAACACCGCACTTTGGGGTCAAGCGCACTTTGGGTTCCGACAGCTTACAGCTAAACACTACTTTTAAGCTTTGAATGCGTTTTAATTTGTTGGATACTTGTGAAAAAATAAAAATATTTCTTTCTTTTACATAGCTAATTTTAAGCTGTTTTGAGAACTACTTGTTGTTAGGTTTGTCATGAAGCGCTGTGCCAGAGATTGAATGTCAGCATTGTATTTCCTGATCTGCGATCAGAAAATACAATAATGTAAAGTTTTCACTGGGGGTCCAGACCAGATCCTGACACCCTGCCCCCAATATTATAAATATAACGTTTTAGAGGCCCATTGTGCTTTTATTTGCATTTCTTAAAAAAAATTTAATTTTGGTGTATTTCAACAGTATCCAAAAAGTTACTCATTGGCCAATTATCTGAACCATATTTTCCATCTGTTGCTTTTTGGCAATAGGTACAGTTATAGTGAATTAATATTTTATATGGAAGTCAAATACTACATTGTTTACATTTTGCTACTTTTATGACAAATTATTTCACATTTATCGCTACTTTATTCAGGTAACATATATTTCTCTGATACTATTATTTAAAGATTAAAAATACATGTTTGCCATTTCTAAAGAAGTGTGTAAGATTTCCCTTAAAAAGCCTCTTGGGAACGGTTGTTACGGAGCTTACAAAAAACTTAAGCTCAATAATGTATTTGTAAAAATCACTATTTATAGTCTGTTCTAAAAACTGGATATTTCACCAGAACATTGCAATAGAGCATACTATAGTTTTTGTTTTTGTTTTGGTTTTTTTTTTTGGAAAAAAATATTAACTGCATTTTGTTTCATCCACATCATATTTAAAATTTGCCTTAATATGACACAAAAAGTTATCAAGTAAATGACTGACAGAACATGATATTTTTTCGCAGCATCTTTTAATTTTAGGATACATTGATAATTTATGTACTAGAGTTCTTTGTTATATGGAGACAATTTTACATATTTCAAGTTGTAAAATTAATGAAACTTATATGACTTAAGTATCAAACCGCAATCTTAAACTCCACCTCAAATATTTCAATGTCGCAGATCGAATATTAGTCAGAACTCAGTATTTAAGCAGAACTTAGTTGACGCCTTCAGAACTTTGAACTCAAAGTGCGTTGATATGTAGCATAATTACGCACTTTGGGGTCAATTTCTCGATTTTGACCCCAAAGTGCGTTGGGCCCCAAAGTGCGGTGCGAAGTGTAACGCTTGACCCCAAAGTGCGGTGTTACAGGGCAGGATAGGGGGAGGAATGAGGATGCAAATTTCTTCTCTTCTACTCACGACATTTAAACAATGATCTATTTTTAAATTCGTTACCACTTATTACGAATATATGAGCCGCCATATTGGTATCTTCTCAAATAATGACGTCCGGGTGAAAAATACCCTCTCACGTGACACAAATGTACTGGTTTCCAAAATTGTTATGATTTACGACTATATAATAACTTTTCCTTTTCTTTCAGGACTTTTCTTGATGATTGCCATGGCACTGTATGTTGACAAAATACAGTTGCTTAACTTTCGCGATTTAGAAGGAGTTTTTTCATATCTTGATAACGGATTTTATCTAGATATAGGTGCGTGGCTGGCGGCATGGATAGCTGGTGGATTTTTCATCGCTGCTAAGTGTTTGACCAAGAACAAAGTTAATAGTTCCTAGAGTAATAAATGTATAAAATATATTAAAGACCCTGTAACGTATTTCTTATGGTTTTATATGATAAATCTGATGCTCAAATGAAGATTTATCATTATTGTAAGTTTCAAAAAGCACTATTTGTAAAGATATTACCAAATTTAACATTTCATGTAAATAAGGGGAGGTACATGTAATTAGAAATTTATTTTCGAAAAAGTCTAAGTTTGTTTTTTGATGTTTGTTTGTTGTTGATGTTTTTCTCAATAAAAATGAATGCATTGATTGTAACGTATTATTGAAATGTGTATAAACATTTGCTGTGCATATTTAACATATTCTTGGATGTTTTGAAATTGCTTTAGAATATTAAGTAGAATGTATATACATATATAAAACTTCACTGAACAATACATTATTGTCTCAGATACTGTACATTTAAGTTCTCATTGACTGCCGTAAAGTACCTACTTTTAGCTAAAAATCATAATTTTGGCTTATACTCCGTGGAAATTGCATGGAGGTAAATAATAATTTCTTTGTGCTTCAAAATTAACTCTTTAATGGCCTGACTGGTAACATGTCCGGGGTCCGCACTCGACAGCGAAAGCTGCATGACGGTGGATGGACCCTTTTTAAACATAGACTACATACATGCATACAATGTATGTTACATCCTTAAGCAACCGCCTCCGTGGTCGAGGGGATATAGTCGATGACTTCTAATCCAGTTACCTCTCTGGCGTGGGTTCGATCCCCGGGAGATGCTTTGGTAGTTTAGCACGGAGGAAGGTAGTCTAGTATTGGTGTAACTCTCCAGGAACGATGGTTAGGAAACTACCCGCCTATATGACTGAAATACTGTTGGGAAAAGGCGTAAAATGAAACAAACAAAAAACAAAACATCCTTAAGTTCAATTCTAGAATAATTATGACCATTGTTTGAATACTAAGTGTATCAAAAACAATACCGCAAACATAGATAATAAATGCCTTCATATTAGTTGTAGTTTGTTCTTTATTATGACTTGTTCTTTATCTTAAAAAGTGTTGTTTTTTTATTTTGTAAGCTGTATAGATATGAAAAGAAATGTAAACAAATCTAATTTCATCTTCAAAGGTATAGTTCGATGTTTAAATATTTTTTATCGGATGATGTACAAGCCTTTGCATTTTACTGTCTGTGCATGAATTAAATTTAAATTCATTTCTATAACGTCTCCGGGAGAACCGAGAAAAATTCAATGAACTGTAAAGCATTAAATTGTATAAATCTATATCTAATGAAATATTTTTATTAAATTTATCCACAGTTATTCCATTATAATATCGTTGATTCCCGAAAAAAAATTTAACATAGCATGTCTCTGTTATTTAACACTCATGAATAATGCACATAAACAGAATGAAATGTTCCTTAACAAAGTATTAGTTTGCCTTTTTAGCTCGACTATTCGATAAGAATAAGAAGAGCTATTGTAGTCACCCGAGCGTCGGCGTCTGCGTAACCACTTATGTTAAAGTTTTTGTAATACCTCAAATATTTTCAAAGTCCATTGACATATGGCTTTGAAACTTTGCACACTTGTTCACCATCATGACCCCAACCTGTAGACAGGAGGAGATAACTGTATCAAGCATTTTAACAGAATTGTACCCCTAATTTACGTTAAAGTTTGCATACCACCTCATATATTTTATAAACTATTGACATCTGGCTTTGAAACAAGTTGAAATTTTATACTCTTCTTTAAGAGCATAACAGGACTCTCTTCAAGGCATATAACAGTAACATGGACTTAAAGGAAAATTTGGCCCTTTTGTTAACTTAGAAAGTTTTACATTATCAAGGCTCTTTTACTATCAAGCACTAAGAATGGTCGAGCATTGCTGTCCTACCGACAGCTCTTGTTTAAGAAAGGTTTTTATCCGTTTAGCAATAATAGTGTGCATGCGCCACTCGCTTTAAGGCAATTATTACCATATTTATTTCATACAAGCATTTTGGCAGTATTCCTTTTTAAATTCCAAACAATACCTTTTTGTACTAGATATATAGCTTTATACCCTCCAAAGTCCCACAAGTAACACAATATTTATTGAACGTAATTGACACATTAGCAAATAATTTTACAACTATACGGTCTGTGTGTAGTTACTTTGGCATACGTAAAATCACATTTTCATCACGTTATTTATAACATTATTTCGTTGATCCGGAATACTGCTCATTGCAATCAATCATCTTGATCTGATGAAAACAATAGGGTTGTGTTAATGTAATTTTAAAAACAAGGAAAGTTGTAAAGTCTTTCTATAATTATTTTCTAATTCGCTTCACAATCATTTATCACCTAATAAGAGTTATAAAACCTTAAGTCTGGGACAGAATGAACAACAACACTGAAATAGGATGTAGGCCTTCGCATTGTTTCAATATCATTGAATACACATCAATACAAAAGATAATACTTTATGTCTTCGGAAGCTGAACCTCTGAACAAGCTCACAGTCTATAAAATAAACAATTATCTTGATAACTAACATGTCAATATCTTCAGATAGCAACATCCAAAAGCTTTACTGCTTAATAAAGATTTTTAAACATTCTAACATTTGGCTTATCTTGATGTAAGTAAATAAAATAATGGCTATTTTAAGTAAGAACAAATTAGCTGAGACTGACAACGGTTAAAGGGACGGGCGGGTGGGCAATACGACCTGTAAAATACAATGTTAAGTCTCAATGTAATGGCGAGTGGCGTATCTCTAGGTTAAGTGAGCACGAAATTATCGTGCTATGATTGTTCATCTTTGACTCTTAAACTGCAATAAATACATAAAGTAACGTATAGACCTATTAGACATTTGCAACATAACGTCGGGAACGATTATCGAGGAACAATTACGCTAATCTCAACACATGTTATAAACACTTGAAATAAGGCCAGGATATCCTACTGTGTTTTTTTCCTTACATGTTAAATTTCAATTTAGTGATTGCAAAACGAACTGATGCAATGTTCCCTAAATAAATTCGGAACTTATTCTCATCAGCTCGGCCAATGGTCGTTTGCGTTGACGGTTGTATTGTCTTGTGCGCTGACGTGCATCAATAGTTTCGTCCTTTGAAAATGTCAAAACGTTTGGCAATTTGAGCACGTATATCTTGACTTCTTGACTACGGCCTAGGTTGTGCAGTTCACCTGGGACTGGTCCGGGACTAGGCGGGAGCAAAGCTGCTGGTCAGCTGTTCATGTTGGTCCTCATTTATACATCTGATAAGATTAATCGGAGCTTGACCAGCAATGACTGTTGCATGTGAACCGCTTAATTGTCCTTGGTTTCGATGCCTGATATTTCCATAGGGACTGCACCTAATTTTTTTATCGGCACTAAATCTTTAACCCTAAAAGACGCCTTTCAAGAAGTTGTACGGCCTAAAGCTGGAAATAATTTGAAAATATGGAAATGTGAAATTGAAATGAAGTGAGTTACTGCGATGGAGTTTTTGTACCATGTCCTGTTTTTGTTTGGGGTCCGCCTGGGCTCCTTTGCCACTGGTTCTTGTTGCTGGGTCGTGTGGGGGGTTGCCCCATTGAACGCCGTATTTCCTTGTTGATCTTGTTTATCATATTTTAACGCGATATTTATACATCGAAGCAGTAGGTGCCAAGTGCCGTATTGCAGTCGTAAAAAGGTGCCCCGTACTTTGCTTCAGTGTTGCTATAATTTTCGGGTCATTTAGAGGATAATTGAGTTCAGCACTTTTAAGTGTTGAGAGTTGAGTCCCGCTTAAGCCGGTGCTAGGGGGGTGGCGTGAGGGTTGTTGCACTTTTCCATAATCCATCATGTACAACCCAATCAAACCGAGTCTGCATTTTCATGATTTCTTTTGTTGTTTTTAGTGCCTCCGAGGGATCAATTTTCCAGATATTTTAACATTTTTTTCAGTCATATACTGATAGTCCGTCTATTGTAGGCTCTGAAGAGGTTCTCTTACCAGTGCACGATCCGATCTAATTTCCCATATGAAACAGAGGTGGGCTATCGTTTGCCTTCAATATATTAAACATTATTCACTGATGTTTTAATGTTAAGCACCAAGCCAGGAGTTGTCAGGCCCATTTTTTATGTATTTGGTATCACGTTGTTCGAACAAATAACTTTCTTCAGTCGAAGAAGACTGTCTAATCAAAGCCTTATGGAGAATAGAAATTATCTATGGAATATTAAAAAAACATCAGCATAATGCGTCAGTTTAATAGACAATGATGAATTTTATTGCAATTTACCCAGGGCTTGAAAGCTGTTTTTTAAAAACGATGTCAAAATTTTTAAATATATTAAGAATTTGGTACAGATTTAGGGTATTTGATGTATGATGTAAATACTTACAGTCAACTATCGTTATCTCGACATCGCTTTTCTCGATATTTCGTTATCTCGATGAAATTTTGAAAGTCCCGATTTTCTTCCTTCTTTATCTATATTGGAAATATTTGTTTATCTCGATATTTCTATTTCGATATTTTCAGTATCTCGATGTAAAAGTTCAGCCCCAACAGTTATTTTTACACTATTATCCTTTGTTTATCTCGACTTCGTCTGTTCCTTTCATACGTGTGAAAAACACAATCTAGACGACAATTGCTCAATTAATAGCGCGCGTCATAATGACGATTGTGTTTGTAACAAGTTTAGCTGTTTTTATAAAAGTTAATCTATTTAGCGTGTCGATTGACTTATGTCCAAAATGAGTGAATTTTACATTCTTTTTAAATATTCGAACACTGTATCAATTCATTATGACTTTAAATGTAAATGAAATAGTGAAAGTATAGAAACGCTATCGTTGCAACATTGTTTCACAACATCACCACCAAATCAATCAGCGGTGGAACAATCTCGAGAAAGACCCGATAAATAACCCGGGAGGATATCCGGGTCAACCATATCCGATATCCGATTCACTATATTTGTGTATTACTGAGTAAACCTCACTATGTGTTTTTATCACAGACACCCGTATTTCCGCTGGTAAACATCCGCTAATGTTACTTTGTTTAATATTGTCTAGGCCTATGAAAACAAGACATGGGGATACTATAGTTTATTTGACATAAGGTATGCACATGTCTATTGTAAAAATCAGTTTCGCCTTGTTCTAACCCTAATATGTTTATCTCGACATTTCGTTATCTCGATATTTTTTGGACGGTCCAAATGACTTCGAGATAACGAGAGTCGACTGTATGTAGTTTCATCGTTTCTCTTAATCATGCCTACTTAATATCTGGTTCATTTATTTTGTTAGGATTTTTGCTTGCTTATAACCCCACCACAGTTCTCACTGAAGTGGCAGAAATGTATTTCAAATGCACACATAGATACAAGTTCTGCGAGTTACGTTAAGAGACACCCGAAACACTTTACATTATCATTTAAATAAAACATCACAAAAGGCACTGAACTCTGTCGTTCAGAACATTATTTGAAAAGGGATCCGGGCTTTAATTCCATGTTTTTTATTGGAAACGATGTACATTTCGTACTCTTTTAACAAATACAGTTTTCAAATGCTCATTGAAATGTACTGAGTATAGTCTAGTACTGGTGTTACTCTCCAGGGACGATGGTTAGAAAACTACCCGCCTATATGACTGAAATACTGTTGGTAAAAGGCGTAAAATAAATTGAAACAAACAAACAAACAAACAAAAAGTGTACTGAGTATAATGGGTTATTAAGAACAATGGAAAAGTTCAAAACCATTCGATAATTGATAATAATTGCTTTACTTAATTAATTTTTAACTTGAACATGTCTGTGTGTGATTTATATTTTAAACAAGATATGTTTGTAAAACATGTATGCCCCCTATCAGCAGCCAATTAGTCATGTGATAAGGTTATTATGCATGACTTCTGACCCAGTGATCAAACAATTAATAAGGGTTATAAAGTATCTACTGGTCATGACCTTGACCTTTGACCTCTTGAC